ACCCGGGACTAGTAATCTAGCCCACGTCGTTACTGATTATTTAGTTATGGGTTACATAGCTTTAGTAATTAATCATAATAATAACAATTTAAATCAGAAAACTATTTTGAAAAAGTAATGATACAAATTACAAATATCGCGAACAAAATTGGTTTTATATTGATGCTAAATTGACAATTATTGAGTTCAAAAATATTGTTCATGATCAATTAATCTTTTTTTTACATGTAATGAATTAGTGCAATCATCTCCAATTTTATCTTGTATAACTTTATCAATAAATTTTATTGCACGCTGCTTTATGAAGTCGTATCACATTGCGTTTATAGAAGCCTGTGATTCTTGCCTACATATTAATAAAATGTTTAATGTGAATCTGATGTACATTAATTGATATATAAAGAGTAAAAATCTATAAATAAATACATGGTGTGAGTTTCTAAGAAAATGCATGTTTTCATACGGTTCTACATCATTATCTACTTAACAACATGTTTTGACGCTCTGGATAATCGAGCAATTTTATTTGCATATTCATGAAGCGTAAATATATAGGTAATACGTTCGCGACGTCTCATTTTCAAGCGTAATCTCAGAGCACGGATGCTTTCGGCTATCGACTCTTCGCAATTTTACACCTAAACTCGATTATTGAGACATTTATTTTTTTCTCAGACTGTTAATTTTGCGACAATATTCGATATAATGCCAATTTTGAAACTCACATTCGAGCCTGAAAAAAATTCTCGCGTGTATTGTGACAATTAACGGATTATCGAAATAAATGCAGATCTAATGGCATTTATTTTTTTATAAGACTGTTAGATCTGCGACAATGTTTAATCATTTGTCACCATTTTTAATACGTGATTCAACTTAAAGCCCGAAAAAAATTTTCGCGTGTATTGGAACAATTAAATGATTGTTGAATTAAATGCAGCTTCTGCTGATAATAGAGCAGTTCAATTTTACCATAAAATTAGAGCAACATATTTTTATTTCTTTTTTTATTTGATATAAACAAAATTTCATAAAATTTTATTCATTGAAAATTATGAGCTTTTAAGTGCAACCTAGAGCTTTGGCGAAACTGTGACCATTCATCGGTTATTGTGGTTTTCATCAGTTTTGTTTATTTAAACTTTGGATCCAGAACCGTAAATAACATTTCTAGGACCACAGTGGAAAATAATGACACAATTGCCTCAAGTTTCTAGAATTAAAATTATTTATTTATTTATTATAAATATTATATTTATTATTTTAAACTATGAATTTAAAATTTTCAAAATTGGTCGATTTTAATTATAAATAAATCATTATTTATATTATTTATCAATTATTTAAATCTAATTATAATATCAAAATATTTAATTTCATATTTCAGTTATAATATATATATTTGAATTTCAAAGGTTTACTATTATATTTTCTTCGCCAAACATAGCATGTGTACTTTTTTATATATATTTGCATGATAATCTTCTATCTTATTTAATTTAAAAATATATATAAAAGTTATAAAAATTATATAAGAATTATAATTTGAAACCTAAAATAAGTTATGCTTTTAACTTAAATATTATATTTTATTGACTTTTACGGAATTACAAAATATTTTCAATTTCTTTCATTTTTGGTTAGATTGATTCTTATTAAATTCTAGTCTCTTACATGAATCTAGAATATGAATTTACAGATTCTAACAAGATTATTATTCACACTTATAAGAAGCAAATTGATGTTGATTCTTATTAAATTCTAGTCTCTTACATGAATCTAGAATATGAATTTACAGATTCTAATAAGATTATTATTTACACTTATAAGAAGCAAATTAATGTTTATAGACACCGTATGATCTCTCCTGTAATATATTTTATACCAAGCAAGATAATTTTGGTAACAAATGTGTATATATATATATATATATATATATATATATATATATATATATATATATATATATATAGATTTTAAAATGCAAATAAGTGGTAGTCATTTTAGGTTTGAAAATGGATGAGATAAAATTAGGGAACAGTAATATAATAATAACTTTACATTATATGTTATTTATCTTTGGCGAGTGGGTTCATATGATCTTCTAGCCTGGTTTTGTACTTAGATGGATTTCTTCTGATTTATTTTGCTACTGTGAACATATTAGCCAAATTGAGACATACATGGGCGCCTCTAGTATTTTTTTAATAATTATATTTTGTGACCTTTGTAAAATGTTTATATTGGTTTGGCTATGAGGAAGCGAGTTTCAATGTGGAACTTTTAACAAGTTTGATGTCTTTGGGATTTGAGCTTAAATTAAACACATTGGCATTATTTTTATAAAACAAAGGGTTAAATGGTGAATAAAGCAAGGGACGGTTAGAATCATGTGCTCATGGAATAATATGTAGTAAACGATAGGAAAAACATCATTCTAATTGTTTTTTTTGAAAGACTGGTGTAAGCAAAGGTGAAAGATCCCAAAATTGAATACCGTGTTTAACATGTGAATAATAAATTAGGTATCTCTATTATATATTTATTACCAAATATTATAAAACTTCTCAGTATATGAGTTCGATTTAAACATAAGTGAGTTTCATTTTAATTCTGTTAGATTTAAATATCAATAGCAGTGATTAGAAAATCACTGCTTTCGACTACATGTCAGCGCGCTTTTATTAAACTGTACATGGCGCTATCGATACGCGAGTTTGCGCGCGCTACGCATTAGCATAAGCTCGAGTCACGGCTTTCCCACGGAAAGCCACAGTTTTAAATGTATATATATATATATAATATATATATATATATATATATATATAAATGTTCAAGGTATGTGTTCTTGTCATTTATACCGATCTGGAGAGAACGAGACCAACGAAAGATGTCAAATCAACAGACCGCGAAAGACCACGCGTGGGCGGTACGATGTAGAAGAACAATTCGCATTTCCTGAACTGCTCAAAGCAAAACATTGCGGGCACTCACAATACAATATGTTTTATTTGTTAATTTTTTTAAATTTCTGGCTATTACACTTTGTTTCTATTGAATATCTGTTATAAATCAAGATATGATCAAACATATAAACTGTATTTATAAATTCATAGAAATTTAGCTTGTAACTATATTAGACAGAAAACACATTTAGAGTCACTTAAAAATAATGGCTTGCTCTAAATTTATAAGTAATTGTGTTTGTAAAATATTTCAATATTTTATTCAGTTTATTTAATATTTAAATGATATAAAATATCTAGAGTATCTTTTTATGTAGGTAGATATAATAGTGCGTTTCCTTAAATATTTATAGTAAGTTTAATCCGTTTTGGAAGGGTTTAGCGTATTTTTGTAACGTTAAGTATTTTTTTTAATTAAATCACTTTTCATAGGCTTATAATGTTTTAAGAGGTTCGGTTTGACTATCAACTTTATCACCATGCAAAGTTATATCAAAATCCCAGAAGAGTAAATCTGAGGTTCTCCTTGTTAGTATATATTACATCGCTCTTTTTCCTTACCATTTCCTTATTCGCGCCACCTTCATTTTCGTTTTGGTTATTCGAGGACAAAAAATACTACCTAATTTTTATATCCGATGCTAAAAATATAGTTAACCATGGATACTAATATATTATACCTAATATACTCTGTAAATTACTTCATTTTGAACTAATAAACATACTTAGACATAAGCCGCGTAGTTGCCTTCGCCGTCCTTGTAGCCTTCACCGCTAAAAGTGTTACATACAGACCGAATGAAAACAATCTTTTTTTTAGTAAAATATGACTCACATCGACATGAATTTCACATTTTTAGTCCATTGAAGAAGAGAAGTTCAATTACTTCAACAAGCAATTAAAAATATTACATTCAATTCGAAAAAGTTGGAATCAATTATAGCAATTTTTTGTCTTTTAATAAAGGAAGCGAGAATAAGGAACTTCTACTACTGTAATTGTATGTGGCACAACATTACTACTTCTCAATTACCACCATTTCGACAAGAACTACTTTCAGCTACTACTAACAGATTTGAATTATCAGTTATTATAGAGTTAGTTTTAACCTAATTTATAGAAATTATAACTTCTTATAAACAAAAATTATTTAAGCAAGGAAGTAATTTAACTGTCAATTGAAGGCATTTTATATACATACAGACATATATATTAATTTAATTAGATTCTTAGATTTTTAAATATAATGCCAGGTGCAATATAACAAAAACATTCTGTTTCTTTGGCTTTAATTAACCCAGATAAAAATACAATGAAATAATATAATTGCTTGTATCTCATGCGTGATTTAAATTTAAAAATGTTAAATTGAGTATTAATAAATATTGTATGTTAAATGTTTCATATATTCTCTGCCAATTTCATTTAATAGAGAATTTGAAACGAAATAGATTATCGAATAAGTAAAACATGTTCTTTCAAAAATGTATAGTTTTATTAATATTTATAAATTTCATAAGCATAAAATAACATAATTACATATTTAATATACAGAGATTGTTTTATACCAAAATTAACATGCATTCAACAGTATATAAAATATATCAGATTCATTCAACAACATACATTTCAGGTACTTCGAAAAAATTATTACACACAGTTCATATAAAAAACATGCTCAAATTCAAAACAAAACGCAATTATTTCTATCACATTTCATATCATAAAGATTTTAAATCTACAAACAAAAGTGAAATATTCGATTATTATAAACTATAGTTTTAATATTTTATGTATAGAAAACTTTTATATAAAACTAATGGAAGATCTATGATTTTTATAAATTTAAACTATTTAAAGCTTTTACTAGTTTAACAACTAACTTAATCTAGATAACAGTATTAAACGCGTTTAAGATAATTTATTATTTCACTCTTTAAAAAAGTACGCAGTACTTAAGTGTGTCGTATCACATTTCAAGCTTATTCATTTAAAGCACGGGTTGTCGTAGTAGACGGCTTCTTCCAGACTCATATAATTATTGAAAATTGGAAAGGTTTGAATCGGCCTGATTCACCAGGGCCTCCACATGTCTTGGCTTGCAACCGATTGGGTGATGGGTTGATTCTGCATTTGATGCGGAAGGCGAGCGATCTGTTGCGGTCGCTGTGGCTGCACGAACATTCTCTCCTGGGCGGGGCTCGGAGCGATCGCGACCGTGGAAGGGCTTCTGGGAGGCGGTGGCGGTGTGTTCAGTTCCAGCCTCCGGATGCAGCCGCCGAGATGCTGCATCAATTTGACGCCTTCGCGCTGATCGACGCGAACACCGTCTGATGTCGAAGCGGTAGCCAAAAATTGTGACACTTCAGCAGCACAATGCGAAAATCCAGCGCGAAAGCGCTCTGCGTAAGATGCTTCAGGAACTGCAGCTAAGCGGTTTGCACGTTTTAGTGCATGCAGATGACTCACTGTCAGCTCTAGAATGTCAGCTTTTTCTAATTTGCTTATGTTTTCATTGTCATGAGCTTGATTTTGTAATTGTAAAGCACCGACAATGAGCTCTTTCAGCTCGTCTAAGCACCGATTGATGCGAGCGCGACGTTTGCGCTCTAACATCGGTTTCATCACTTTTCGGTATTGATAGGTCCGTGATACTGGTTCTTCATTGTATTCCGTCAGCACATATCCATTGTTTGGAGCCATTGTTGATGAACAAATATTAATCACTTTTTCTTAATTTATTAATGTCAAAAGCTTTTTATTAATTTATTAATGTCACTGATGTCAACTCTCATTCACTTCACACAGTACACGTATCGCTGAGCTCTTATTTGTACGACAGACGCTCAGGTTGTAATGGCATAGCCCGAGGTCGCTCTGCTTATATAGCCATGGTCTATGCGCTAGTGGTGGGAGAGACTCAGCGGGGCCTGAGAAACTATGAACAATATGTTTAGGGGAGAATGCGAATAGTTTCGCTGACTTGATATAATTCCTGTCACGGAACAAAGGTAAACTTAGGACAATTTCGAATGATTTTGTTATGTACATTGTAAATATGTTTTGATAGTGTCTTTGCAGATTACATTAATTTAACGATACGTATTTCAATCATAGAAGTTATCGTTACTAAATAATAATATTTATTATGAAATATAGCTGTGAATTTTCCCATTGATTAATTAAACAGGTCGCTTCAAACATTGTGAATGAACGTGACAAATATTTAATCAGCATTCAAAATTCTAAACAAAATTGTTGGAAATGTTGAATATGTAACGTGATTAATTAAATAGAATAACAAGTTACTATCTTTCATTCTAAGTGAATTGATTGATTAAATGGATTTTGTATTTTTCTAAAATTATATAATGGTGGCAGGTTTACTATAGATTTAATAAATTTATTTATGAACTGGTTTATATGATATGATACTTCGACCATATTCATCAGTATAATTACTTATGAACTATTAAATTTGAAAGAAAATAATATTTCATTATACAGTAGAAGACTCTTTTTTTGCTGGTCATACTAAATAAGTATGCCGCAAAATAAATAATCTGTGGATGGCATGATGGTAATTCATATGGGATTATAAGGGATGCGTTCTAATGCGAATAAAAAAAATATATAAGCAAAAGTAATAAAAAACATTTTTAATTATAATTTTTGAAACTTTTTATTGATTATATTTAGGCTAAGGCAATGGCTTGAAGAATTTGGTAGCATTCTCCTAGTCGGCAGTTACTAATACTGATATTCAACAGTTATTTGCAATATGCCTAAAAATAAGACTTTGTTTCATATAGAAATCGCACAGATCACTTACCATTTTAACTAAGTTTTTTTTTTTTCAAATTAAATGTAACATTTTATTGAAGCAATTGAATTGCCCTTATTCAATGGATTGGGAATATGAATTTTATGTCGATTTCATTCATATTTTACTAAAAATATATTTTATTTATTGAGTAACAAATAATGTTGTTTTCATGCTGCTTCTTTATATTCCTAAAAACACAGTTGAAAATGATAGCATTTACAAATGATATTTTTTTGTATAACGAAATTCGCGAATAACATAATTTTTAGCCGCGCATATCGAAATTGGGTTTATTTTTTTTACCGTGATTAGCGGAAAGGCAAATAAGGAACTTCTACTATATATAAACTCTCTTTCAAATGTATTGTTGAGCATTCCTAGCAATCTATTTATTCATCATCTTAAAACCAAATTCGAATATATTTTTCATTAAAATAAACGTCGTCACTTTATTATAATAAGAAATTGAAGACTTTTTTATCTGATGTATAGAGATAATAGAGAAAACTGAAAGAATACAATGGGCGCATAATGACATTCCAACACGTGCTCAATTTTAACGTCTGGGTCACACATTTGAGTAGTCAAATAAAAATCAAATGTTCGCACGAAGATCGTCTCAAATGCCGTGTCGTGAACATCAAAGTCTATATTGAGTACCTTTTGGTCATTAGTATGCACTTCATCATCGGAACGTTTCGGTTCGAACAGAAGTTTTCAGACTTGGACCTTTCAGGAACCACAATGTATGCAAAATGCGAACAATACTATCGCTTCTATCGTTCGACGGAAAGGAATCCGACAAAATTTTAACCTACGTTTCCGGGTTCAGAAGTTCAATCAAACTTTACGTACTTTAATATAACTAATAAATGTTTCACGATTTAATATAAAACATACATGTCAACAAATGTTGTCCTTATAATATACATAGAATACAAGTAAATAATATAAATAGGCTAAATATATAGAAATGAATTAATATCCTACCCACCCATATCATTTATTCGACTACTTTCTGAAAGTTTCTACAAATATGTATTATCAATGATCATTTTGATGCTGATAGTTAGTTTAATCCTTTCGCAACGAAAAGGTTTATTGCAGGAATGTCACTGCTGTACGGAACAGCGTGTTCATTAGTACAGACCAGACACAACGATATATTATAAATCTTTTTATTACCAATAAAAATGTGTAGAAAAATTGAAAATTTTGCTTCTAATAAACTAAAAATTACAATAAAACTTAGAATTACCAAGAGTTTAACTCATAGTGATAAATCTTGAAGCAAAGACTGACACAGAGCATGTCGTCCATGGACAACATCCGTACATACAGTACGTCATGCCGATGTCGTCTATAGACGACACTCGCATACACAGGTGGTCGAGTGGATGTCGTTCATTGACCACATTCGTAGCAAAAGGATTAATTAAAATGGATTTAAGTTGAGGTTAATTAATTTTGATTATGTTTACATCTTCCAATGTCTCTGCGTCAAAAAAATTTAACTGATGTAAATAAAAAGTGGTATCATATTGCTTCAGTTGTTCAAAAATACATGATTTAACTAACAACAAAACGCTATATATTTCGTATAATTCAAATGAGTTACGGCTACAAGGAAGCTTGTTCTTTACAATTAATCGTCATCATATCGAGGTAGTATCGCGCAAAGAAGACGCCTACTGTCAGTATCAGGTTGAATATGTTTCTTATATGATACATAGAACGTTTTTTCCTACAAGTTCATTCATGCTATCCACACAACGAGTTTACTTCGGCGGCCGTCAAAAAATTGAAAAAAGACGATGGAGCTCCCATGCCGGTGTTACTCAATACCTGATGAATGCGCGCAGTGGAAGTATTCAGTACTTCACGGCTGCCGATACTACGCGTACAGGCAATACTTCTTGGCACGTACCGCGGGCTACTTTATCAGTAAGTACTGTTGCTACGAAGACTCTTTGTCGAACGAAGATTTTCCATACTTTCTGCGCACCCGTGCCATCGACAGTGGTGCATTCTTGGATTCTATTTCTTTTACTCCACGCTGTTGTGTTGGTTTCAGTTGTATATAGCTTGCATGTACTAACAAGAATGATTGGAATTACAAATTACTAATGAGAATTTAAATTATAATTACAATTGTTCTCTTTATCGTTAATTGATTTTTAATTTATTATTGAAGCAATTAATTTCGTATGTAAATATGCAAGATGTTTTTAACATTTTTGTTAAAGCAGTAACAGATTTGTTATTTGGAGACAATATTATTTTACTAGTAGGGGAGACTGAGTACGGTAGTATCACTTTTTCTTTGGTCAGCAATAATTTTGTTAATTTACCAGTTAGCTGAGAAAAGGTAAACTAAATGGTAATTTGAACGTCTAAGAGGAAATACTGAAATATTACCCTTAAATACGATGGATTAGTTATAAAATCAAATCATAAAAAAGGGCGTGTGTCATTATAAAATCATAAAAGAAAATGGCTATGAACACTGAAATGGTTTATAACGCATTTTATTGTCAGAAATATGTAACACTATACAACGTAATTATTTAAACAAAGCTTGTGGATATAATCTTGCAATATATAACAAGACATAATTTTTTAAATAAAGTTTTAATAAAACTGAAACATGTTTCGGTAACTTTACGCATTGGAAAACGTATATTATTTCCGAAAATATTTATTAAATATTATTTATTTGTTATAAAATCGAGTGACTAAACAAAAGGTTTTGTGAATTATTGTATTCATAATTTTATTGACAATTTACAATATGTTTTATCAATATATTTAACTATACAGTAGAAATCCAATTATCCGAATTAATGGAGACCGGGACCCATTTGGATAATCAAATATTCAGATAATCGGAGTTTTTTTTAAAAATTTCCATTGGAGAGAAAAAAAGTTACGTTTTGATATTGCACTATTTTTTTATTGAATTAAATGAAAGAAACATGATATTTTCACATGTTTTAAATATAAATAAAATGTACTTATGTACAAGTTTAGAAAAAAAAATAAAATAAAGTTTTTTAAAAATCTCCGTCAATGTAAGCTGTTTTGCGGTCTTCAACTACACTGGGTTCTACACTGGGTGAAAGAATAATAGCGCACTTAGACTTTTTTTGGACATTTTTTTTTTCTGAAAGTGATTCGGATAATCGGCGATTCGGATAGTCGGAGTTCGGATAATTGGAGTTCTACTGTATTTCATTATCTGTATAAGAACTTAGCAAAAATATTTTAGAAAATGCCATTTAGATTTAAAGCATAAACATTATATTAACCCTTTCCACTCGGACGCCGCCACACCGGCGGCAAAATACATATAGATCTCGCAATTCGCGAGTGGAAAGGGTTATCTTCCCGTAGGGTAAGTTCTAGATTTTGCAAAAAAAATCGAGAATGAATATTTTTACATATATGTATTTACGTTTCAAAGACTTCTGAACATTTTGACATACTTTAGAAAAAAATTACTTGTGTCTATATGGGATCGTTCAAGTATTATGTAAGCAGATTTATTACATTTATTTACCCCCCCCCCTCCCCTTTGTCAGCATAAGTAAGCAAATTTCTTACCAAAAATAAGCAAAATAAGCAAATCAATAACCCCCCCGTCCCCCTATAGTGCTTACGTAATACTTGAACGGCCCCTATGTATGTATGTGCGGATACATTTTTTATATATAGAAATAATAAGTAAATGTTGTAGTATTTGTTTATCACATAATTAAACCATTATCATGATTTAAAAATATTCTAAAATACCTGAATTATTCAATATCATCATAAAAATGCAACTAATAATTGAATGGCACATGGATGAATTCTTCGTCCAGGTGAAATTGAAATAAATCTCAACATGCGGCTACCTCACTGCGCGTAAGCCACGCGATGTGTGGGAAAAGGAGCCGGCTCACTTTTCCCACGAGCCGCGTCCGTGATGCCGTCCCTTACTGTCGCACGCCGCTTGGCTCTCGCCTGTTGCATCGTTTCGCTTCGGCTCACGCGCGCCTCTATGTGCCCGTCGCGCTTCATTGACGCACACGCTAGACCTGTGGACAACCCGAGAGAAACCCTTATGTAGTATGTAGTTCACCTTATATAATAAGCACAAAGGTATACGGTTCAACGGTGCACGACCAGACAGACTGGATGGTGCTGAGACGCTGAGACGGCTGATGTGCGAAATCTAAGATCGATTGTTTACTTATTATAATGACGTCGTCGTGTTGTACATTTATGATGTTGTGTACTACAGACATCACGGTTTTGAACAGATGCTTATATTTGAATAATGGAGCTATGTTTGTTAACGTTTATTAATTTTTAACTTCCCGTAGAGTAAGTTATTGTAATGGGCCGAAAATCGGAATTGAAAATGTTTACATTTCTCGACGTTTTGAAGGTGTCTGAACATTTTGGCATACCTCAGAAAAAATGAATGTGTGTGTGAGTGTGTGTGTGTGTGTGTATGT